TAGGGACAATCAAGCAATTGGTGATTTCTAAGCATCTAACCCCAGTTTAGCCACTTCACAGCACTGGGGAAAACACATAATTGCTATATATTTGCCAAATACTAAAAGGGAAACTGAGCTACCAGGAGAATAAAGTCTATTCTAGGCCAGTTGGATTATTAATGTAAAAGGAAAAAAAGGTACGAGTAAGAAAACACAACAGTAACTTTGCTCCTGTCTGTGATGAACAGGATGAATTGCCAAAGACTTGGTTCCAAAAGTCCAAAGCAGGGCAGCAAGTGCCACATGACAAAGTGTGGCAGTTGGGGAGAGGAGTGTGACAAAACACTTCCTAGAGATGTAATTTAGGCTAGGGCAGTTATCAAGTGCTGAGAGTGAGAGGGGACAGTTGTAGTGTTTATGCTTTTCTTACCAATACATCAGTCAGTGACACAGGACAAAAAGAAAAGACAGGGCCAGCATACTCCAAACATTCAACTCCAGTTAATTGAAATGAAGCTAGAAAAGTCTCACATGTTTTGAAATTGAAAACAAAAATGTTCTACTGGCAATAATATTCTCTGGAAATATTTCTTCATTATTTGGCTGGAAATATAATAGTTGCTTTTTTTTTTTTTTTTTTTTTTTTTTTTTTTTTTTTTTGTGGCCGGCAACGGATCGCAACCCTCAGTGTCGCGCCCGTACCGGACCGGGACCGGCAATGGGATCGCAACCCTCAGTGTTGCCCCCACTCCTCGCTCAGCCAGTGAGCCGCCAGTCTGCACATGGGATCCGAACCCTCGGCGGGAGCGCCGCCGCGCTTCCCAAGCGGCGCACTGTAGCAGTGCGCCACCGGGCCGGCCCATAATAGTTGCTTTGAGATGCAAAGATCTATGTGGAAAACATGTTAGATATTTAAACAGTGTCTGGAAGAAAATGAGAACCACAAATCTCGAAGATGAGCTTGGTATTAGTTTGTGGCAGAAACTAAAGCAATAAAATAATTTAAGTAATCTTGGGCAACCCTAGAGTGTAAAGAAAACAAATGTAATGGTGAATGGGGCCATTGGTACCCAGAGAGACCCCTGGGCCTATACACTGGGCCAGAGTATACTTTGATATACTCTGGGAAGGCTAAGAGAACTAACCTTTACTGAGTACCTACTATGTGCATGATCTCACAACATCCTTATAATCCTTTGAGGGAGGTGATAACTGTTCCCATTTTACAGATGAGGAAAGTGAGGTCCAAAGAAGTATTCCACCCAAGTGACATAGCTAATAAAAAGCCAGAGCTTGGTCAAAATTTAAAAGCTCCAAACAGATTGCTCAACAAAGATAGCTGGAAGGGATCAGAGTATTGAGTGTTATGTTTTGAATAAGAGAAAAGGACTATTCTATCTTGACACCACTAAAGATAAATAAGGTTTCTCCTAGTTCCCACCATATCTTTACACTGCTGGTATCCTTTTATCACTCATTTCTGGATGTACCTTAGGTTTCACATGTATTTTGTACTTCCTAGTTGTAATTTTGGCTAAGTTGGAGGATTTAGAAGACTTAGCACTTTTCAGGCAGTGTTATATAATGGAATTGAGCCCTGGCTGGGACTTGGAAATCTGGGTTCAGTTCTGGCTGTGTCATTTATTAACTGAGAGTAGTCAAGTTTCATCGCTTTTTTGGGTGCCAGTGTTTTTCATCTATAATAGGTTGGACTAAGTATCGTTGAGGAACTTCCTGACTCCATAATTCAACCCTCCTTGACTCAACTGTTTAAGATTGTGATTTCCATCAAAGTATACTGGATTAGAAATGACTTGAAGAGTTAGCAAATTTGTCTAGGCAAAACCGGTATGTACTTCAAGTTATATACAAACAAAAACAAAAACAAACGAAACAAACCCAAAGAATAATTATTTAACTTCTATAGTCTACCATCTGCAAGAGTAACCTAAAATGAAATGGCTTAAAGTATTTTTTTCTGGGAGTTTGTTTAGAACAAATATATATTCCAGTTCTTAGGCAGACCTGGATGCAAATCCAAGCCGTGCTTCCTATTATCTATTTAATATCTCTGAGTAACATTTTTTGCTTCCATAAAATTGGAATTGATAATGAATATTAGCTGTAATTCAGTAAAATATCTGACGTACAGTAGGAGCATACTAAGTGCTGGTTATTATTATTGCAGTGGTTGTGAGGCATTTGGTTTATGGTTAGGTAACAATTCAAAGGAAATTTCTTCACAGTGGTAGAGCCTTAGATCATAAACTCATCAACACTGGGAATTTGCCATTACCCTGTGTGTATGCAATAAATAAACTCAGTTGCAGAGTGGAGAAATATAGTTGCTTTCTTCTAGACCTACTGGCATTTCTTTCTTTCTTTATAAAATTTGATATTTCGCCCCTTAGTGGATAAACCTGATTAGAGACATGCTGATGTATTTAATGGCACAACTAGATTAAGTATCTGGAGACAGCAGTGTTCTGGGACATCTGGAAAGAGTGACTGTCATAACCACACTTCATTTTCAGTGTCTGTATTTGCCCATTTCCCAATTTCTGTCCTATGTGTACAAGGAACAAAAAGATGCCAGGAAGAGGATGAGGTGGCTTTAATTTGTTTACAAACTAAGGGAAAAAAAGAACAACTTGATTCTGACGCTGACAAATAACCAAATCGTAAACACCCATCTGAGTGACTGCTTCTTGCCCTACCTCTCCAGGTTTCACTCTCTCACCTCCTGCCCTTTTCCATGTACACTTTTTGTGAATCATTTTCCCTCCCTCTCCAAGTTTTGTTTTGGGGCTGTGAGGGTGGCAAGGAGCCAGGGTGGAGAAGAGAAGGAAAGCACAAGAACCAGAGTCAAGTCACCGGTACTCTTTAATCCCTATTACATGAAGCCAGATGGAGGCCTGCCAACAGTGACATGGAACTGCCTATTTTCTAAAAGGAAGACCTATAGAAAGATTAAAAAGTTCCTCTGTTTTCTACAGGTAAATTTCTGAAGCAAAAAACAGCAAAATTTCAATTGTTTCTAGCCATTTTTAAAGAGACAAGTCATGCATATTAACCAAAAAGCCTTCTGAAGTTCAAAAAAGCAAACAAATGATTGCTAATTAAGTGATTACTATTAGAGATAGCATGCAAATTCCAAGATCTCTTTTGGCCCTAACATTATATGACTCGCAGTATAATTTTACTACTTTAAATAAATTATAGGTTTGTAGTAGCTATATTGATATTTTTATGAGATCCCATTATCACAGCTAACCATATTATCAGTTGATGGTGAGGTCTTGGCCTGTAATGGGATCGTACAGGCCAAGTGCTCTTATGGATATGATCTATCTCATAATGATCCACTATATAACAACTTCTACAGGACAAAGCTATTATAGGACAGCTTATAACAACCCCTTAAATGCTTAAAAATTCTCTTAACTAATTAAGTTTTCAGGGCTATTAGCTTGAGTTGGGGGTCAGTACATTTAAAAAAGATGGTATCTTAAGGTTTTCTTTAGTAATTTGTTCCTCATTTCATTTTTTATTACCCCTTTATATAAAACTCCCTAAGAAGGATTAATAACTATTAACAAATTATTCCACAAAAAGGAGGCGGGGGAGGGAAAGTGGTGGGAGAAAAGGTTGTCAATTCAGGCAAAAAAAGGTTAGGACTTAGATATCAACAATTTTCAGGGCTTTGGTTGAGAATGATCTATTATGTATCCAAATTTATCTATGTGGCACCTTTCAGACAAACTGAGGATCCAGATATTCCAGTACTTTTAAGCATCATGCCAAATTATAATGCTTTCTCGAAGATGCTGTGAAGATTCAAACTGCTCACGATTATGTTACTATGATTTTGAAGCAATAACATCTTTGAGTTTCAGATACCGTAATTTAGCAGTTCTGGATGACTGCATAATGTCTCCTGATTGGGTTGAAATTTTACATTCGGTCTTTTCCCAAACTCTCACCCATTTATCATCTATCCAGAAAAAAATGTGCTTGGAATTTTTTTTCCATGCATACATTGAATTGCAAAGTTATCTCACAGAGTGGAAAATGCTGAACTTCTCCTAAATGTACCATTCACCCCCAATTCAACCTGCTGGCATATATGATCTTGATTTATTCTCTAATTTTTCATTCATTTATGTTTAATATCTGCCTTTTAAATCTGTTTGTAAAATCCTTAAGGCCAGAGACTCCATATATATCTTTGACAGTGCCATGCCAGAAAGTACACATGACAACTTACTATTTCACTGTTTTACTTAAGAGAATGAAATTTATTCTTCTTGCAACAGTTGGGCCATTGAATGTTATTCTGTGAGCTATAATTTCCAAGTTATCTTAGGCAAGTCATTTAACCTTTTTGGGCCTCAGTTTCCCTACTGATGGAGAAGAATTTTTCAACTAGAGAGTTTAGGTGTTAATCTAAGGCAGAACTTAAAAAAAATCCTATTCCTGCCATTTTTTAGAAGTAGGAATTGAATATATTATCTAACCTCTCTGAACTTCCAACTTCTCACCTGTAGTTTGGTGATCAAGAGAGTGGTTTCAACTCACAGGGATTTTTCCCTTTTTTTTTTTTGAGGAAGAATGAAAACATTAATGCAAAGAATGCAACACATTACCTGAACCTTGGTTCATGCTCAATAAATTATATCAAGTTTCTTCTAGCTCCATAGTGCTAAGATTAGGACAGAAATAAAACCTCAATTATCAAGCACCCAGATCCCCAGGATCCTCAATTGTCTGACACTATTTTGATCCCCAAAGTAAAAAAAATAAGTCTTACAAAGGATAAGCTGATTCAAGGCCCATTTTAGTACCATTTTACTCACAGAGTAAATAGGATAATTTAAATAAACTTGTGATGTTCATAATCGAGTCCATAAAAAAAATGATAAAGACAAAATGATTACAAAACCTGCTCTGAAATGCATGCTCAGAATTAGACACTGGATGTCATCAATCTATGCAAATGGGTTTGCACAGACACTGACCTGGCTTGCTGGAAGTGAAGAACAGAACACCCTGCTCACAGCTGGACTTACCTACATAAAAAAGAGAAATACTTTACAAATTCTACTGCCTACCAGGAGCACATGGGGAGCCACTAAAATTTTCAACATACGTTGTTTTCTTTCCTCTGAAAAGGGCAGAATCTGCTTTACTTTTGCTAAGTGCCAGTGTTAAAATGGCATTTCTTTGGGTCAAATATATCTTGAAATAGCTAGGTTAACATTTTGTAGCATTTCCTAAAATATATTTCTGAGCATTTGAGGATGATACCAAAAAAGCCTTTGGCCACAAACAGATGGATGGGAACAATGAAAACCTTACAGACATTTTAAAATATAGAAGTTACAGAAGTGGGCATGCTATTCCTCCAAAATAGCATTTTAGACAATATAATCATAACTGAAAGACCAATTCTGTTTTTCCTATTAAATTATATTCGTGTAGTTAATAAGTTGCATTACTGAGCCAGTAACATCAAACCACATATGTTTCTATTTCCATCTCTGAGATCACACACAACTTATGTACTTAAAATTCACACTACCTTCAAATCTGGGAAAATAACAATAATGAGCAAATTTAGTAGAATACTGAGCATGATTTTATTGCTTCCTAATGATTTTTCAAAGCCTTCCACACTGCATTCAACTGGTTAGACCTCCTTCCCACTAATATGTCCAAATATGATCCAGGAATCCCTGAGGAAACCTCGTTTAATGTAATAATTTACTGCCCACTCCACCTGTGGAGCAGTATGCAGACAATTTACTGAAAAGTACTTGTGTTTATTTTTTAGCAACCAGTAACTCTCTTAGACATCTACAAGGCTTTTGAAAATTAAATTTAATTTCAAATTTCTAAATATTGTTTGTAAACAAACTGAGAGTATGTTTTAAAAAGCCTGAGGCTTGCTAAGATCAAACACAGTCTTTTGACTAACTCCTGCTGATAGTGAGAGAACTTACACAAAGATGAAAACCACTGATAACAGTACTGTTTTTGCAGTTTAGAATATGTTTAGTGTAGATACGCAGCACAGTCCGGGTTGGGTTGGGGGGAAGCTCCAAATCAATCAAACCTCAAGCTGATCATCCGGTTGGGGTTCAACAGGGCTCCATCAACAGCACAGGGTGGGTAAGTTCAAAGTTAGGGCGACTCTCCTGGTCTTAACTTGCTAGATTTTTCTGGATCTGGGGTGCCTCCGTGCATATATATCGACCTTCATGCATCCCCCCCCCCCCCCCCAAATGGGGG